CTGCCGGCGCCGCGAGCAGGACTCATTCATTCCTCCTCTCAACGGGCGTGATCCATTCAGTCAGCCACTCGTCACCTCTGCCGGCGAATTCTTGTTTCTCCCTGTGGAAGAATTCGTCACCTCTGCCGGCGCCGCAAGCAGGAGGTCGGCTCGTACGCGCTGATGGGCGACTCCGGCTTCGGCTCGATGGACTTTCTCCAGTGCTGCAAGTTCGCCGAGGGCGACAGCCGCGTCCTGATGCTCAAGATGGCGAGGGACCGCCTCCGCCGCTACGCAAAGGAGGCGAAGAGCGGCGCCCCGCTCCCCGCCGGCGAGGAGGAGGAGGCGGCGCTCTGCGAGGCCCTCGCCGCGGCCGTCGGAACCGCAAAGGGCGACAAGGCCCTCGAGGCGGCCGCGTGGGACCGCGAGTGGCGCGGGGTGTACGCTCTCGCCGAGAGCATCATGAGGCGCACCTTGGAGCCACACGGCCGGTGAGCGGGCCCATCCAGCGCAGGAAACACTGCACTGATCTGTCTAAAAGCGAATCGGAGGTATTTTGGTTTGAGGGTAGCGGAAGGGAAGTGTGTTTTCTCTTGCAATCTGTGAGTGCCGTACGGCTTTAACATCCAAAGTTGCGAGACTTGCGGCGGCCCCAATATGCAATTATATGCAATAAACTCTCAAGGCAAGATCTGTGATGTGTGTCAAACAAAATCGAACAGGCACGTCTACTCACTACTCAGCGCGTGTGCACGCAACACGCACCCTGCACATGCACACCGCTTACACTGTCAGGACATACAGGCACGTCTACTCACTACTCAGCGCGTGTGCACGCAACCTAGACCTAGGTGCGTTATCACCCCACTGACTCACGCACCCTGCACATGCACACCTCTTACACTGTCAGGACATACAAGCACGTCTACTCACTACTCACTACTCACCACTCACTACTCAGCAGCGATCCGCTAGAGCCGCCAGTCGACCTAGGCCGCCGACGGGGAGTGGTCTTCGGCCGGGCCCGCGGAACGGCGGGTCACCCATTGTGACGCGGCCCTGATGGGGGGGCCAACGCAACGCATGATCCTGGAGTCATGGACTGATCATCAAGGTGGTAGTCGGCATCACCACCACACGCTTTGCATCCATTAACATCATCATACTTATTGAGGCAATATGCGTCCGCAGGAATGGGCAAGTGGGGTGGACACAACGGCGAGAATGGAGGAGACCTGTCGCAGTACCCGGTACCGGGGAGGGGCGGGCCAAGCGCGCCAGACCTGTCGCAGTTGGAGCCGCAAAGCCGTCGGATGTGCTCGTTGCTGAAGCGAACCGTCACGACTCCTTCTTTGCAGAGAGCCCCAGAGTCGCAGATAGGTCTGGGGGCGCAAATCGGGGCCGAGTCTCGAACGTGCATGAGTGCACCCTCTCGATAGCAGATCTCCGGAGACAAAAAGCCAACACAACCATTGAGGAGCTGTGCTTCGGCTATTGCACATGAGAAATTTCCCGGCTGGAAATCTTCCCCTGGAGATATCCCCTGGAGATATTCTCGTGTTCCAAACCATTCGGCGCCGGTGGCGGCGTCTGCATCAAATCCGCATCGTTCGTTGGCGATGCACTCAGACCTCACGAGGTTAATGCACTCCCGCAAGCTCTGGGTCGGTCCAAGATAATGGCCCGCGCGTGTACCGCCCACGAATCGGCCAGGGTCGGATCCCACTCCATCGAGGTACTGGCATTCGTTCCAGCCCAACGAGTTTACCAACAGCCCACTGCTGTTGAAAACTGTATGTTCAAGGCGGTGAAAACCGGACCAGCAGATAATTTGATCGTTATAGTCCCACTTATAGTCGTTAAAGTCCCAGTTAAGAGCAGAGCCAGTGGGAATGTACCATTGCTGGGAACCAGTATCATTAGTATCCCTATAGCAGACGTAATGGTTAGTGCGCTTAGGCAGTTGCTTTTGCATGCAAAGGTTGTCCCCTGATGATATGTGTGTGTGTGTGTGTGTGTGTGTGTGTGCGCCCTTGGCTTCTCCGTTGGCGTCGCCATCATTGTGGCGGTATGCGAGTCGGACTGGTTCCACGTGCTCCCGTCCTCAGTTCAGGCCGCTGCGCTCCTGCCACTGCAGATAGTGACGGGCTTCTTCATGTGGTGCCTGTTTGTGGTTGGGCATGACTGCGGGCACACCACCTTCTCGCAACATGAGTTAATCAACGAGGTATTCGGCGAGATTTGCCACTCGGTTTGCCTGTGTACGCCGTTGTGGCGCCGAACACACCATCGCCACCACCTTTACCACAATCACGCGACGAAGGACTACTCATATCCATGGGTGCCCCTCCTTCTCAAGAGCTCCATTGCTGCCCGTGCATGGAACCAGCTCGCCGCCGCTGCCAGCGCTCTCCTGACGACTGCCGCCACCACCACAGCGAAGGATGGCACCGCCTCCTTGGTCTGCATCGCCCTCGCGGCGGCTGCTGTCGCCGTCATCGCTACTGCCAACGACGACGCCTCACCCCCCAGTGGCGCCGCTGCCATCGCTCCCACAGCCCTGGCTATCGTCCTCGCGAGGTGCTCCGTCCCCTTCGCGGGCACCCGCTTTGCCGGCCCCACTGCTGTTGCCGTCTTGTGCGTGCTGCTGCAGCGAAAATACTTGTGGCAGACGTGGCATTACATCCTCCGGCCAATCGCACCACTCTACACGTGGCCTTTCTACCTCTTTGCGGGCATCCCCGATGGGGGGCACTTGCTCATCTTTGGCCGCGCCTGGGAAGATGCCTCGGCGACAGCGCTCGCACGCGGCTACCTCAGCGCTGCCTTGACTGTGGCGAGCATGTACTCCTGGCACCTCGCTCTCGGTGGCTGTCTCGTGCGCGCATACTGCATGCCGTGGCTCCGGTCGAGGGGGCTCCTCGCGTTGGGGTTTTCTTGTTTGATCGGGCGGGTGTTGTGTCCTGTGCTTAGGCGCGCGAGCGCGAGGCGAGGGAGCGCGAGCAGCGCGAGCGGCAGCGGCAGACGGCGGACGCCAAGAGCCGCGAGCAGCAAAAGGAGAAGGAGTTGCGCGAAAAGGCGCTCCCCTCCCCCCCCATCCCCGCCGCGGCACGCATTGAGGGGCGCGTCCGAGACGTGTCCGAGACGTGTCCTGCAGGCGATAGCGTCGACGCGCCGCGACGCGTCCAGGGACACGTCAAGGGACGCGCCTGACAACGGGCCGCGCGGTGGCGGCAGGGTGGTCGAGGAGCGGCGGCGGCCGCGCCAGCCCGCAAACGACAAGCGGCGGTGAGGCGGGAGGAAGGCGGCGGCGGCGGGCGGGCGGGTGTGAGAACGGGGCAGCGGGCGGGCCGCTGCACCGCCCGCGCCCCTCCACGCTCCAGGCCTTATGTCCGGTGAGGGGAGGCACCTCCGGCCCCCTGCCGGCGCGCTCCAGCAGCCATGACAGCGGGGACAGGTCGCAACGCGGCCGGGGATGCGGACATACGGCGAGCTCAGTGTGAAAAAAGACCTGAATGCGCAGTGCACACGCTCTCTGCGTTGGTACCGCACAGCGCGCGCGTTGCGCGCCCCTCCAGCTCCCGCTCGGCCCGGAAGAGAAGGATGACGTCGCCCGTCGCCAAGCTTGCCCTGCTGACCTCGCGAGCTCTAGCGAACCGAGGTTACTGCTCTGCGACGGCTCGCCACCGCTCGTCGTCCAGCATGTGCCACCACCGCCGATCCGGGTAGCCGTCGTATGCGCGATCCGTCCGTCCCCGTCCTCCTCCCGCGCCATGACGGTCGCAGGGTACCACCGCTCACTGTCGCAGAAGATCTCGAGGCGCGATCCGGTGGACAGGACAGTGTGGCCGTCGAGCGCCGCCCTGGCATCCTCGCGCTGTCGCTTCCGCCGCTTCGCCTTCGTCTCCTTGCTGCGCAGCAGGGTGTAGTTCGGGCCAACCTCCGCCACGCTTTGGACCCAGGTGTGGTGTGGGCGCGAGAATAGCTCCGCCGTTCATGGAGGCAACCGATGCGAGTCGACTGGTGTGTGTCGTCGTGGTTTCGTATCAAGAATTCTCTCTCTCTCTCTCTGACCGAGCCGAGCCTTGGCCGCGTCTCAATCTATCCGTGCTCGGCCGTTTGACAACCCAATACCGCTGCGGCGCGCGTACTGTATCAAGGAGGTGTTCCACACGCAGGCGTCGGGCGCGCGCTTCGTGGGGAGGGTCGGGACCCCCCTAGCATGTGGTGAAGCCTCTGGGGAGGATCGGGACCCCTAGCATGTGGTGAAGCCTCTGGGGAGGGTCAGAACCCCCCCCTTCCCCCCCTAGCATGTGGTGAAGCCTCTGGGAGGGTCGGACTCCCCCCCTAGCAATGTGGTGAAGCCTCTAGTGATGCTGCACTAGGCGGCTCGGTTTTAGCAAAAAGCAGATACCTCATTCTTTGCGTGTGGTCGTCGAAAAACCGCATGTTCGCCCGTTTTGGACCCCTTCCGTACGGCTCCGAAAACCGCTCCTTAACGACGACTACGCGGCCCGGCGGTCAATCTGCGCCTTCTCAGCGGTGGCGGGGATGTGAGAGCGGTACGTGCGGACCGCGTGGTGCTGCGATGGGATGGTTTGACGAGTGCGATCAAGTAAAGCCGTATGATCGGACAGCACAGCTACTCACAGTCCTCCTGGGCGTACGAACCGCGCGAGCCGCGGCTCGCACAAGCTTGAGCACTCGAGGTCTCGTGTCTCGACTCGATTAATTACCTCGTCAGGTTCGGAACTTTGTGAACGCTACCGAGGGTTACGACTGTAGAGCCGCGCATGATTGTGGATGCCGCCAACCACTCTGCTCGACACAGCCCCCCAACAGACCCCCCCCCCCCCGCCCCCTAACCCACACACACACACACTCTCTCACTCGGCGTCCATCTCAAGCGCCCCCCCCTGTGGGGCCGCGTGCCGCGCGCGGATCGCCTTTTCCCGCGCCGCCCGGTAATTGCGGCCGTCGGGTCACGCGTGGTCCTTGCGCGCGTCGAGTCTCCCCTCGTT